TTTGTCTAAATGCATAACGTATATAGCGAAAAATGTATATTACTAATCTTGTAAACAAATGGATACATGGATTACGTTATTTTGTTGCATAGTATACCAATTATTGACGTATTGAGATAGGTTATGAAAATAGGTATTCTGAAATAAAAATAGAATATAACGAAAATAAAATAAAACGAAGAGAAACATGATACATAATTCTCATTTATTGTGTATTATGCATCTATAGAAGCATTGAAGAAGAAAAAAATTAAAAAATTATATACTATACAATTGAATCACGAATTAATTTTGTTGTTTTTAATTTTGCAAACTTACACAATTCAACCAACTTTTACTTTTAAAGAAAAAATTAATATTTTACGAATATGTCAAATTGACAATTCACTGACAGGTAAACTAACTGACTTAATTTGAACGATTTTCAAAGTGATAAATTTACATGCGAACTATTTTTTTAAATTTTTAAGTCACAAGGAATTCGGGCACAATGAATTGACACGAACAAAATGAAGTTGAATGAAGTTTAACACTTTAAATTGATGATGTATCTAATGCGCCGTCAGTACTACCCGTTTCTTATGAACGTTCGCAATATGAAGGAAAAGATACGGACATACGTCAAGTGCGGGATTTAGTTTGAACATTTTTGACAATTCCAACGCGTTATCAAAACAAAATTTTCTCAAAGATGTAAAACAAATGGTTTTTCATCTTTATGCGTAAAGTTACACGTTTGAAATGCACTTACGTTAATGCTATAGATATAGCATCGTGTCTGTAGGTTATAAATATCAAAGATTTATCGATTTGACGTTCGATCAAATATTTATTGCCATCATGTTGTCTCGAAAAAATAAGGATTTAAGGACAATTAAGGAAGGAGTTGTTGGAAAATACGTTAAAAAGGAAACTCCACCTGAAATGCCAAGTAAGTTGTTGCTATCGTTTTGAATATTTGACAATTAAGTTACAAAAAGCAAATTATTTTGTATCCCTTTCCAGTTTATGTTTGTTTCGAACTCATATTTACCAACTGTTTTCGTATTATTGCATCGTTTTAAAAAATAATAACATTTTGTTTTGTTGTCTTTTAAATTATCATTTATTTTTAGTTATTAATGTATGGACAACAGAACCAAATAGAAGAACAAGGAATCGTAATAATCATCCAACTATTCCTACATCTATGGTAATTAGCAATTGTGCATATTATATTTTTATAGGCAAATAAAAATCAATTTTTATGTAGTCTATCCCGCAACAACCAAGTATGGTACAAAAGTTTGGTAATACTAAGACAACAATGAGTGCAGTAGGTTTAGGAAGTCATGAAGGAAAATATACCCCTAATAGTTCTGTTCCAGACCTAGCTCAAAGGTAACATATATATTTCAAGATCTATTGATAATTACTTAAAGTCAAAAAATGATTTGAAATATATTTCCCTTTAGATTTGCCAGTCTTTCTGTTAATACCAGTACACGGGATGGATTATCATCTCGTACTGCAACTCCAATGTACCATTCTGGACTCTCTCCTGCTATGTCTCACACCTATGTTAATCAGTATGCTGGATCTGAATATCATTTAGATAGGGTTCAAACGCCACAAATGCCTTATAAGCCCTTTGACATTGATTCTGGTTATGAAGAATACAACCATTCTGCATATCGTCAAAACACAGGGTAAGAAAACGTTACAATTAATATTTCTAGAATTATCAGAGACATACATGTTGTATTTGTGTTTGTTTTCAAGATATAGTCGATGTCATTCAGAAAGATCAAGTTCTAGGAATGAACAGCAGGAAGAACTTCCTCTACCACCTGGATGGTCTGTAGATTTTACTCTTAGAGGTAGAAAGTATTATATAGATCATAACACAAAAACCACTCACTGGTCTCATCCTCTTGAAAAAGAAGGCTTGCCCACAGGTTGGGAAAGAATAGAGTCACCTGAATATGGTGTTTACTATGTTAAGTAAGTATAATGAAAATTGTAGATACATAGTGTATTATAATTTATCTAAAAAAACATTATATTGGTTTTAGCCATATCACGCGGCAAGCACAATATGAGCATCCGTGTTATCCCCACGAAATACAAGCAGTACGCGTTGTATCACCTCCACGCCACACACATTTTCACTCTCACAGTGTTTTAGTTCCAGCTAATCCTTACCTTAATGAAGAAATACCTCATTGGTTATATGTATATAGTAGAGCATCAGTAGCATTAGATCGTAAATTACGATGGGAGCTCTTTCGTTTACCGGAACTTGATTGTTTTAACGCTATGCTTACTAGATTATACAAACAGGAATTAGAAGAAGTAGTTATGCGTTATGAAGAATATAGGTTTGTTAAAAGTTTTATATTTCTTACTGAAAATCTTTTGATATATAATGTATCATGTGGCTGCCTAACAATATTCGTTTTTAGGTCAGCTTTGTTATGTGAAATGGAACAAAGATTAAAGGAATTAAATCCTGAGACTTCTGGAGCAATTGCCTTACGACAATCTCTTCCTTGAATAAAACTTGATTAAGTAAATGCCTTACTGTTTGTGTGTCAAAGATGACAGCTATAAAGCAAATGGAAGAAATTGATCAAATTCCTTTTATAATTGTATTTATAAATAAAATAAACTTAATAAAAATGTTTTTTTTAAATCTATCTTATTCTTGTTACAACTAGAATTCCTTTTATATTTTTATTTCTGAATAAAATAAACTTAATAAAAATGTTTTTTTTAAATCTATCTTATTCTTGTTACAACTAGCACAAGTATAAAATATTTTAACTATCATTGTACATTCTTATATACTTATGTTCTTTATTTGACATCCAGGATTTCTGTTTTGCTTTCAGTTAATTCATCTATTATCTCTGTGGTTTTTAGTCCTTTTACTTTTATGGTATACATTTGCTCAGGATGTGTTGCTTTTATCTGCTTTTCTGTGAAAATTTTTAATTCATTTGATATAATATAGATCAATAATGTAACTGAAGAATGCAATATAAATCATTAGATTGATATTAAGTACTTAAACTTTCTGAATCTGTAGGATAATTGTCCTCTGACTTTGTATACATATAATAAAGTAGAGCATTCGTTGCCATTATGGCATACACCAACGCCCAACGTGATTTAACCGTCATAATATGATCGGGATTTTTGTTTTTAAACAAATAAAGTAGAAACTTAAACATTTTGTAGCTGCTACAATTACAATTACATAATACAGTAAAATTACTTTGGAAAAATCCAAATGACTTTCGTAAAAATGATCGTTTCCTAACCTTATATTCTAATTTTTCTTAAATACTTGTCGACATATATGTATAAAGTGTGTATAAGACACTATTTTCTTATGAAAATTAAATAATTTTAAAATGCGTTTATATGCATTTTCGAAATCAACGCGTTACTAAATCGTCTTTAGTTTTTCGTAAAAATTCAATTTAAATTTGTATAACGTTGAAGTATAAAATGCAATTAAATTTCAATTTAAAAATACAAAGTATTTTTGCGCAATTTCATTGGTTTCCATTTTAATAATTACTAATAATCACTTTCAACTTAACATTACATCAAATTTCTTACAAAACATGTCAAATGATACATGTCTCTCAATTTCGTATAAATGAAACATTATAGTGAAAATAAAAACTTTTGACAAACGATATTCAGATTTTATACATCATTATTATGAACAGTTTTCATGTTGATTGTATTACAGTAAATTTAAGATTATATACGTCGTTTCTTGTATTCCCATTTGTTAGTGCGTAGTAAACGAAGCGTTGAAAACTAAATTATAATTTCTAATTATTACATATGCATATGCTCGTTTACATTTGTTTTTGAGAAAGAGATTAAAAATATGACGATTAATTCTACTCTATGTTAGTTACACCGAAATTTTGCAGACATGTAATGAAAAAGTTGCAAATCCAATATTCGTAAGCATTAAAATAAAATAAATTTTTGTTAAAATGAGAAACGATAGAGCATAATATTTATAAGATTTCATGGGTATGTCAGCCTTGAAGGTTTTTCGTATCGTACAGCACTGCTTTCTATCGGAAAGAGGATTGTGATTGGTTGCACGAACCCCAGACAAGAATGAGGCAGTGGAATGGGATGTCTGGCAATCGAATAAAAGGGGAGGGAGGAGTGATTTCGCGCGTTGAGCGGATACCGAATAATTTCGAAGAGATTCGCGAGCCACAGCATCGTCTCGAGTAATTAGGCAGATAATTAAGCAGGCGAATCCGTCCATCGAAGCCTGACGAGATGTCCGTCATGGGAAAGGTGAGCGCGAATTAACCATTCTAATATACCAAAGCCGACATCGTTATGGAGCTGCTGCTTTTATTGCTGGCCCTTTATCCGCGATGAGATCATTCCTTCAACCACTCGATTAAAATTTCCGTTCCTCGATGACCGAACTTTCTTTTCGCCGATTATTTCCTTTGTTTACGAACTTTTACTCTCATTACATTGCTCCTTTCGCGAGTAGAATGTGTTTTTGCAAGACCGGCCTCGGGAGAACCAATATATACCTTTGTCAACGTGTGCCGTTCGAAGCCGGTAAACATCGCGAAATTTTTCCGAATATTTATCTCGTTTTTTCTCTCATTTTTTAGCCAGTACTCTACTCCTATTGGCGGAGCTCTTGCTCATGGAGAGTGCGAATTGGTAAGTGAAAAATATTATGATTGATAACTCGGAGATTTTCGGAGAAGTTCTACTTGCGATACTACCATTCCGATAAAATTATTCGAATGTTATGAAAATTTTTATTTTTATTTTTATGAATAAATAAGGATACAATGTTGTTGCCTATTGTTTTTGTATTTCTGTTACGTTTAAATAAAATACATTTTAAAGAAGATTTTTATATATCATCATAAATAATTGTCTGTATCTTTTTAACAGCATTGAATTTAAAAGAAATTCCATATGACATAAAACCAGTTAGCCTGATAAAAGGTGGTGGTGAACAACATTCCAATGAATTTCGTGAGATTAATCCAATGGAGCAGGTGCCTGCACTTCATATTGACAATCACACATTAATAGAATCTGTGAGTACAGAAAGAATTATGCTTGTTTACTTCTATCATATGATAATACATTAATTATGGAAATGTATTCATTCCAGTTGAATATCTTACAATACCTGGAAGAAACCAGACCACATCGGCCTTTAATGCCTGCAGATCCAGTAAAAAGAGCAAGAGTCAGAGAGATTTGTGAGGTGATTGCCAGTGGCATTCAACCCTTGCA